TTGAGCGAGGTCTCTCTGAAGTGCCTCCAAGCTGCCCGCCTAAAACCCTAAACCCTAAAACCCTAAACCCTAACCCTATTTTTGAACCCAGGCTCTTTGCTATCAGCTGGGGAGCAGGCATGACAATTAAACCCTAAACCCTAAAACCCTAACCCTAAACCCCTAAAACCCTAAAGCCCTAAAACCCTAAACCCTTTAAGGTCAATGCTTCGACTTAGGCGTTAACTGAGGGACTGGAGTCGAAGAGCTAAAAGTAGAGGCCCCCCAAAGTCTCGTTTCAGGAGGCCTCGTTGTTTAGGGTTTACGGGTTAGGGGTTAGGGTTTAGGGTTAGGGTTTAGGGTTTAGGGTTTAGGGTTTAGCTGGGACAAGCCGGGTTAGGGGTTTGGGGGTATGGGGTTTTAGGGGTTTCAGCGCTCACAACTGGGACAAGCCGGGTTTGGGGAATTTGGGGGTTTAGGGGTTGACGGTTTCAATGTTTTTTGACTGCTGTTCGTTACTACTGCACACACACAAACCCTCCTAGAACCACCATCTGTAAACCCTAAACCCCTAAACTCTAAAGCCTAAACCCCTAAACCCCTAAAACCCTAAACCCCTAAAACCCTAAAACCCTAAAACCCTGAAGCCCTAAAACCCTGAAGCCCTAAACCCCAAAGGGAAGTCCCGAAAACATAGCCTGGCCTCCAGGTCCAACTCGGGGGTTCCGTGGCGTGCTGCCTGGGGTTTGGGGTTTGGGGTTGAGGGTTTAGGGGTTGTAGGGGTTGTAGGGGTTTTAAGGGTTTTAGGGTTTAGGGGCTTTAGGGGTTTAGGGGTTTAGGGTTTAGGGGTTTAGGGTTTTGGGTTTAGGGTCCTAGGGTTCACGAGCCCTTCAACCCGAAATGAAAGCAACACTGGTGCTAAGAATCCTGTGGGTCTTGAGGGTGACAAAACTAACTTACTTCCCGAATACGCCAGAAATAAAGGGTTAAACTTTCAGATTTTTTTTTATAAGAACCCGAAAAGTTTAAGGGTTGGGTATTGGGGAACGAAGATAATTCCTCGGGAACAACTCGAATCCAACTCGAACCAGGCTCGGGGACATGGGTAGGTGGGGCTTGAGCGAGGTCGATTGGGACATGCATCTGGCTTCCCAGCATCGATCCTTCTGTGGGGTTTGGTTCAAGATTCGGGGTGTTCTCTCAGTTTAGTAGTTAAAGCCATTCCTTTTACGTTCGACCGCTAAGCTTATGTAGACCAAATTTTGACCCAGTAGCCACGTTGTAGACGGCCCCGAAGCACGGCCGGGCATCGAAAGCAGCCTGCAGCAAATCCGGAAGAGGAACAGCCGCCACCTGTTTAGGGTCCTGGGGCTCAGGGTCTGGGCAGGTTTAGGCTTCAAAGGCTGGGGGTTCTGAGGTTTAGGGAATTTGTTGCTTTTGGGCGGGTAGTGGGTTTGGGATCCCATGTCAAGGCACTATCTGGCATGTAGGATTGCCACGTCGTCAGTGGTCGTCGTCAGCGGTATTGCAATGGCAGTGCTTTTGCATGGTGTGTATACCCTGCCCTAAACCTTGAGCCTCATTAACACTCGGCCGAACCAAATTCGTGCCGCCGCCTGCTGATTCTTCGGATCGAAGTCGACGGTATAAATGGCACCCTGCTTCGAGCCGTAGGCGTGATGCCCCAGCAAATGCAGTGCGTACATGGCTGAAGCCTGGCAGCTCTTGGTACGTTGCAGGACTAGCGAAAGTATGGCTCGATAAGAACAACTTCACTACGTTATAATAATATGCTCTGCAAAGGGAAGTTGTAAGGACATTCAAGAGACACGGAGGTGCTTGGCTGTGGTCGGGCGCGATGGCAGTCTGCTTTCGGCGTGGGTTGACTTCTCGGATAGCCGGAAAGCTGCGACTGGACCCTTTCCTTGCTTCCCCAAATTCCAACGACATTTTATGAAGCTTCAATTCTCAGAATGCTATGAATTCATAAGACCCCAAACGAAATCAAAACTTGGGTATTGGAGCACTAGGTTTCTGAAAACCAGGTTGGGCAAGGTGAACTCTTCGTGCTTCTCCAACAACGAGTTGGAGGGTACCGGACCAGGGCCCTCCCAAAGACGGCTCTCCGCACTCGCGCTTCGGTGCACCTGAGGGATCAGGGGGAATTCAGTTAAGGCTACATAAGTAGGGTAGCTCTTGCTATGCAATTATACAGAGCGCAACGAAAGTGCACGAAGCCCTCATATTTTCTTTTTGCTATCATTAATTACTTGTGGTACGTCTAACCCTTCCAACATACTTATTAATTAAGTACTAGGCGCCCCTGATTCGCCGATTGCCTCGGGCGAGGCCTCTGCGTCAGCTCTAGGATGGAAGTATCGATAAGACAAAGCCCGCTCGTAGAGGTCGTTGCTGGGCTCCTCCTTCCTAAGTGGCTTAGAGCGTCTAGGGGTTGAAGCTTTTTCGTTGCCTTGGAGCTGATCCCACACTTGGAGGATCAAGTGAGGTTTGCGAAGGATTAGTCTTGACACTTGCTCCAACGCATAAACCAACCAACAAAGCTAGACAAAAGCATTAACGATGAGAAGTGACAAGGAAAAATGGTAAGAACCAAACTGCTCTCCAAAAGCTCCAAGCCTCAAGTCCCGGTGCTGCGCCTCCCTGAACCATTGCAGTGCAGCAGCATGGTCCTTCTTTATACTCATGAAAGGTTAAAGCAGGAAAACCCTATGATACTCTATTAAATGCCGGTCAGAGTATGGCTTTTGGTATTCTATTGCCTCTTTTGGCATTTCAGAAAATGACGGCCCTATTTTTGATTTCACATCGTAGAGCCCCTTACTACACAAGCCCCGATACGGAACCCCTAAAACCATGAGAAACTTATAAAACTCGTACAACACCTTAAGAGCGCTTCTAGGAACCTCGTAGAACCCTACAACACAAAGAAAACCTTACGGGACCGTGGTCCTTCCGCTCGGCATCTGTGAGCCTGAGGGACTCTGCAGAGCTTCGGACTGTCGGAGTAGGGAATGTTGATTTGGGGCATATGGCTTGAGGGTTGAGGGTTTCGGCTCTCACACTCGTTGAGGGTTCAGGGTTAAGGGACTGGGTTTCAAGGCTCTTTTGCTAGGTTTCCGTGCAAACCACTTCCCTCACTGTGGTTTAAGGTAGTGCAAGGCTTGTCTTGGAATCTGCATCTTCATCTTTTAACGTACCCGGCAGATACTTGATGAAGCCACTATCCACGCGAGAAACCTGCTGAGTTTCGGAGCTCGGGCACCATGTCTACCATTTCCAGGGCAGATCAACACTCAAGCAGTCTCGGAGATTTGGGTCTGATTCACTGGAACCCAGACCTCACGCGATTGAAGCCAAAACTGGCACTCGAGGTTGGGTTGGAAGCCCTATCAGCGACTTGTTTAACAATCTGTGATTACTTCCGGTACCTGGTTCTACCGTTACACGGCTTATGTACACCACCACCACCTACTACTACTACTACTACTACTACTACTACTAGTATTATTATTACTACTACTACTACTACTACTACTCCTACTACTACTCCTACTCCTACTCCTACTCCTCCTGCTCCTGCTCCTGCTCCTGCTCCTGCTCCTGCTCCTGCTCCTGCTCCTGCTCCTGCTCCTGCTCCTGCTCCTGCTCCTGCTGCGAACACCACTGCAGCTTACGCAATCACTGCCTCGACGA